CATTTCTAAAGGTGTGTTTGTTGTTATTTTGAAGATCTGGGTAAAGTTCCTATTTAAGGGGTCATAAATTGGTTTGTAGAACACTAAAATAGCTGTAGTATCAGTGATCTCTAGCAGTCACATATAATGAGTCTCTCTAGTCTATGATAGTCTTCTAAAGCATGTCCTCAGTCTACAATTATTCATATCATAGTCACAGTCTGTGAACATCTCTTGTAGCATGTCTGCAGTCTCTGACTATTTTCCGAAGCATGTCTGCAGTCTCTGACTATTTGCCGAAGCATGTCTGCAGACTCTGACTATTTCCCGAAGCATGTCTGCAGTCTCTGACTATTACCCAAAGCATGTCCGCAGTCTCTGACTATCTCCTGAAGCATGTCTGCAGTCTCTGGCTATCTCCTGAAGCATGTCTGCAGTCTCTGGCTATCTCCTGAAGCATGTCTGCAGTCTCTGACTATTTCCCGAAGCATGTCTGGAGTCTCTGACCATCTTTTGTAGCATAGCTGTACAGTAGTTTCTGGCCATCTCCTGAAGCATGTCTGCAGTCCATGACCATCTCACCATCTCCTGTTGCATGTCTGCAGTCTTTGACCATCTCCTGTATCATGTCTGCAGTCTCTGATCATTTCCTGAAACATGGCTGCAGTCTCTGACTATCTCCTATATCATGCCTGCAGTCTCTGTCCATCTCCTGTATCATGTCTGCAGTCTCTGACTATCTCCTGTATCATGCCTGCAGTCTCTGACCATCTCCTGTATCATGTCTGCAGTCTCTGACCATCTCCTGGTCATTTTTGCTGCTGCCTGGAGCAGGGCTTTATATGCACATATCATGGTATGGGAACATCGTGTTGATAGTTACCAATGGTCTGGCAACAGGGTTGGACAACTAGATGAAAGTATTATTAGAGTATTATTATGTCATGAAAGTATTATTAGAGTATTATTATGTCATGAAAGTATTATTATATTATTATAATCCTTTAATAATTCTATTTTTTTCTTTTTCAATAAAAAGCTATACGGTTGCAGGAATGTACTCTTGCAGACTTGTCAAGTTACTGACGGGCTGAATTTAATCTGCAAGGGCTCAGTGTTGGCAGGAGTCACATGACCTACGGCATTTTAGTAATTAGCCCACTTGATGGAATCATCACCTGATTCGGAATTACTGGAATATTCCTGTCTTTGCATCACCAGGCAACGGCCACAACTGTCAGCACTCTGCAGGAAGGTAGAGGAGAGGTGTGATATGTGTCACAGGACCCGGCGTATGGAAAATCTCATTCACTCACCCCGCAGTCTCGCACAGCCCTCCACCTGCCAAGCTGGGAGGACATTACACCAGCGATTTTCCAGGAGGGAAAACATCTCGGCTTATTTTAGAGCTGCAGAAATACTTTCCCTCCGCGGACAGGTGCAGCGACACATTTAGAAGCCGCTACTGCTGGAAATAGAAGGTGCTTAACAATGATGGTCCGGTTCGCATTAGAATGAAGTGGGATCTGGAGTGGAGGGGGGCCTGTTATCTGTGATATTGACTGGTGCATGCCCAGAATTCTGTCAGCACACAAGTGCTGTGTCGCATAGGGGAAGACCTGACTACAAGAGAAGGGGCTGAGAATGTGTCTACAACACCCATCTCCACACACCCGCCAATGGGGCTTATCTAAGGCCTCATTCACATCAGACAGTGCGTTCCGGCCCGATTCATCGTATTGCAGCCGGCTCAGTGTGTTGTGGGGCAGGAGGGGGCGTGGCGGTCCATTGTAGTGAAAGGGACCATAGCCACGCTCCGGCCGCAAGGGGACGCAAGGCACATTATGCCTGCGGTCTGAACAAAATGCTGCAAGCACTATTTTGTTCGTACCAGACCGCAGGCATAATGTGCCTTGTGTTCCTGTGCGGCCGATCGCAATGCAGCTGGATCGCGGCCGGCTCAGTATGTTGTGGGGCCTCAGCAGACAAAATGTGGAGCAGCTGTGCATGGCAACCAATCAGCTTCTCCCTTCAGTTTGTTCAGTTAATATTTGAAAATAAAAGAGACTGGCTGATTGGTTGCCATGCACAGCTGCTCCAGATTTTGTCTGCTCCAGTTTTGATAAATTCCCCTCTATTGTATCCACTAGGACAGTGATGGCGAACCTTGGCACTCCAGCTGTGCCAAAACTACAAATCCCAAGATGCATCTGCCTCTGGGAGTTATGTCTGTGGCTGTCAGAGCCTTGCAATGCCTAATGGGACTTGTAGTTCCAAAACAGCTGGAGTGCCAAGGTTCGCCATCACTGCACTAGGAATTATGCAATTAACCACTTTGCGTCCCAAGCATGATATGAAATGGCAACAAACTACAGTACCCAAAATTGTCCATAGATACTGAGACATTTTCCCGGTCCGCAGCTGCAGAGATCGGGAAATGTCTTAGTGCCTGTGATTGGCGCTGCGCGCTGTCAGCTTCCTGGCGGGCTCGGCACGTGGAGCTGCGAACACTCCCGAGCCCATCCTTACCAGTAACCATGACCACCAGGACCAATAGAAAGAGAGTGAATCAACTTGACAGGGACACAGGCAGGCATTAAACCTAACAGAGGTTCTAACACAGGGGTGGGTAAACTCTGGCCCTCCAGCTGTGCTGCAACTACAAATCCCATGAGGCATTGCAAGACTCTGACATCCACAGACATAACTCCCAGAGGCAGATGCATGACGGGAGTTGGAGTTTCACCACAGCTGGAGGGCCGGATATTGCCCTGTTCTAACCCCTCGTTACTCATTAATATTAAAAAAGTTTGGCTCTCAATTTTCGTTAGTGTCCCCTCGCCAGCAGCCCTTGCTCCGCTGTCTCCCCTGACACTGCTCTTAGCCACAGGAAACAAAGAAAATCCCTAGTACTTCAGGGTATTGAAGAGCATGTGGTGGACTCCATGTGACATTCCTGGGCCAATCCTAAGCACCGGTGTTGTCACATGGGAGAGCCCATAGCCCTGTGTAAGATATTATCATAAGGGCTCTAAAGTGGACCTGTCACTTTGAGTAAGTTGTCCAAATCAGTAATATTAAAATTTCGGGCTGGCTATGGCACTGCTGAGGAATGGTTATGGTTGGATTTGTCATATTCACATGATTCCTCCATGAATGATATACATAGTTCAGGTGCTGCGCCCAATGACATATCAGTATTAATATTTGCCACTTTGATATTTTGATTTCATTTTTTACAATTGATATATTTTTTAATGTTTTACAATTTGTATAATTATAAGCAGTCCTTAAAAGCAAGGACAACGTTATATAAAAAGACATGTCATGTTTTCATACTTATACTTTGAGAAAAGGAGCGCGGCCTTCCAAAAATTACTCAAAATGAACTTTAAAACCCAATAACAAACATTTCCTGCGACAAATCTTCACGGCCGGGGAACAAGCGATGGGTGGCAGCTATGCTAGCCTCATACAGCCGCCACGGTGGGATTTTATTCGTCCTTAAAGTAAAACAGTCTTAAAGTAAGAACTGGCTAAGCTAACGATACTGCTGAAGTGCAACTTCCCTGGGTGCTAAGCCACGCCCCTACTGTCACTAAGCCCCACCCATGTTGTCACTAAGCCCCACTCCTATCATTTGCCACTCCTCCAGTTCTAAGGTCTATTTTCAAGGATTCAGTGGCCAGTAGAGGCTATGGCAGGGGTGGGCAACTCCAGCTGAACTACAAGTCCCATGAAGCATTGCAAGACTATTGGTTACAGGCATGACTCCCAGAGGTAGAGGCATGTTGGGATTTGAAGTTAAAGCAATAATATAATAATAATAAAGCACAGCTGGAGGGCTGGAGTTGCCCACCCCAGGGCTATGGCACTGGACTCTCGAACAGTTTCAATGTTTCCCTGGACGCACATCAAAACATGGGAAAGTAGTATGTCACAAATATTGTCCTGTGTTCCACATTGTTTTCCCATGCGTTTGCGTGCGTTCTCTAACTAGTAATGGCACCACAAGCGCGCTCCATGTTTGGTGCACGTTTGATGCACGCTCACAATATGCTTCTATGTGAACAGGGACTAAGGGCTCGTCGGTACTCTAAAACAGCCTGTTTGAGCGTATGGGCTGGTGTCCACTGTGCGCTGGCAGTGGGGAGGAAGAGGGTGGTGGTGCCTTGCGTTGTTACATTGCAAGGTATTGTTCACTGTTTTCCTTTTTTTTTGCTAAAACTTTATTTGTGTTCGGAATCTCGCGGGCGCCGCATGTTGCCCCCCTTTGTACGTGATATAAACCAAGGCCATGTTGACCTCCCTACCCCACACAACCTGAGGTGTGCCATGATTTTTATGGTCAGTACGCCAAATAAGGGGGCGTACTCTAGTAAGCTTTGAAAATAATACTAGTAATAATAATGGGGACGGGTGGGAGGGTACACCGGTGGTCAGCAGCAGATGCGTCCACCTTTCCCCTCCGTGTTTAAGGGCCCTGGAGGCTCCGACTCCTCCCACAAACTCGGCTAATGTTCATTGCAGCCCACCTGCGGTCCGGTGACCGGCACTGACATGTAGAAAGGTGCAGAGAAATGCAGCACGTCTGCAATTTTTTGCACCGCACCACAACCATGCTTAATGCAGGATTCTGGTGTGAACAATTGTTTGCTATGTGCCCTTGCCATGGCTCGCGTTGATCAGGTGATGAAAAACGATAGTCAGCATACATGGGGCGAAGGAGCCCTAAGGGGAGCGGTTTAGTGCCCGCAGAGGGTTTGAGCTGGCTTGGAGGTTAGTTTGGGCTCATGCTTCCTAGACCTGGAATCCAGGAGCTCCCTAGGTCATCATCATCCTCATTAGAAAAGTAATGGCTCCTGCACTTCAGCAGTGGTGACATCATAACAGGTTGGCCTTAATAGTGACATTAAAACCTTCCTCACTGAAAGAACCGAAAACAGCCCTCCTTCTCCTTCAAAGTATTACATTTAGTGCTAAATTCCAGCTCTGCATTCTGTCCTCTCTGAATCACAGTTCGGAGTCACAGAGTGTCAGGACACCGGGCAGCAGCAGCCATCGCGGTGCTTGATGAGGAGGGAGATGCGGGAGAAGGTCTTGACGCAGCCCGGGCACCGGTATCTCTTTACTTCTGAGTGTGTCTGCAGGTGCGCTCGCAGGTTGGAACGGTCTGCAAAGCCACGGCCACAGTGATAGCAGGAAAATGGCTTCTCACCTACGGGAGAAAAGGCAGTATGTAAAACATTCTGTTCTAAAAGCAAAGCTGGACTCTAGAGGGATGTAAAAAAAACAGAAATTAATGCAGGCGTCTATTCATTTCAAATTATTAAAAGTATTTAGCCACATGAAAATAGGTTGCCGCATGAACATAGGTTGCTGCATGAACATAGGTTGTTGCATGAACATAGGTTGAGAGGGAACAGGGAACATGCTGACAGGAGGAGAGAGAGCAGAGGGATGACCTTATTAGTGTGCTGCTGCTCAGGCTGGGGACAAAGGGTGACCAATGCATGGCTTAACTGCTGGAGAGAAAAGTCAGGTCATTCATCTGGCTGTGCTGTCTAGCAGAAAGGAAATGTAAATTTAAGGATAGGATAGACAAAAATACAGATCCTTTGGCAGATAAAATAAGCTCCCATATAGGGTGTCTATTTATAGACAATCCACATGACCCTTCACCCTGTGAATATCTGTTAACATTCATTTTGTGTGAATAATACCAAAAACAAACTTTCTTAATATATATTTTACAGTTTAAATGTATTGTCATGTAATGCTACAATATGGCCAGGAGATGGAGCCGAGGAGCATATGAAATCAATACTTTTCCATATGTTCCTCAGCTCCATCTAGTGGACAACATGTAGTATTACATGACAATACAAAAAAAATATATATTAAGAACGTTTGGTTTTGACATTATTCGCCCACAATGAATATTCACAGATATTTAGAGGGTGAAGGACCTTGTGAATTGTTTATGAATAGACTCCTTATATTTGTATATTCAGGCACAACAGAGGGCCCTCTGATATGCCTGAATAGAGGGACATGGCTGCATGGTCAGCTCGGCCCAGCTGCGATATGGGTCAACTGGGCCCGGCCACGATACGGGTCAGCTTGGCTTGGATGCCGTTGTGTGGTGAACTCTGAAAAATGAACGACATGCAGTACAACCACCTCGGACCATGCTGTGCTCATAGAACTTGATGAAATGTCACGTTACAGAAGTTGTGAACTGTTTTATCCAATTAAAGATCTGCAATTCTGTTCAGTTTCCTTTTCGGGATTTACTTACCCCTGCCAAACAGCACAGCAAGGTCTATAAATTCACTGTTCACAGCTTGGACACAGACCGCCCCAGCCATTGACTGGATATCTAATGAGCTCTTCCCTGTGCCCCATCCTTCTGTCTGCAAAATCTCTGTGTTACATTGAGAGCACTATGCAGCGTTGTAGAACCTGATTGGCTCACAACGATGGCCTTTTTTAAGGCCAGCTATACTGAGGATTACAGGGAGCTAATATAAAGACAGAGTTAGATATGATATGATATACAATATTTAAAGACCCGCTTCAGGCTCCCCCTTCCTGGTCCCTATTGCCCGAATTAGAGATATTAAAGCAAACCTGTACTATAATATTGGTCATTACGTAACATATAAGCTGTACATCAGACACCATAAGATACTTAATAATGGAGCTGCTACCTCTTATAATGGAGCTGCTACCTCTTATAATGGAGCGGCTAACTCTTATAATGGAGCTGCTACCTCTTATAATGGAGCTGCTAACTCTCATTATGGAGCTGCTAACTCTCATTATGGAGCTGCTAACTCTTATAATGGAGCTGCTAACTCTTATAATGGAGCTGCTAACTCTTATAATGGAGCTGCTGCCATGTCAGAATCCAAATACAAACACTCCCTATTGCTGATCACAATAAAGGAGAGCCTGTCACCAGGGAACATGTGGAGGGCAGGGGAGGGTGGCATACCTAGCACTATACAAATGACCTATAGGCAGTATAGCTGTACTTTATAGTGACAGTAGGCATGCTGTAAGGGCACAGAAGGGTGTGGGTGCCCATCTTACCTGTATGTGTTCTGATATGTCCCTGCAGAAGCCACGGTCTGGAGAAAGCTTTACCGCATATACGACAAGCACAGGGCAGCGTATGGGTACGGATGTGCATTTTCAATGCCCCCAGACTGCTGTAGGCCTTGGAACAGTGCGGGCAGCTGAAGTACCGGCAGTGCCGCAGTTTATGGTTAGAGTGCAATTTACCCGACTTCTGAAAGTCTAAACAGGCCTCGGAATCTGAGACTTGTGCCATCTCTCCCTGAGAAGGAAGACTGAACGCAGCTTTGTTCACTAGTGCCGAGAGTCCCGCCTCCGCTGTTCTGCTCCTTGGGGGCGTGTGCAAGTTGTTCAGGCTGTCTTTTAGAGGTAGTCCATTGGTTAAAACTGACAGAGCATTGCCCATCCTGAACTCCAGGGGGCTTAGGGGAGAGTCATTGTATAGTTCCTCCTGTGTGGTATCGGCCTCGGTATGCGACAGAGCCGCCTGCGGAGGCCACTTTTCTGTGATGTCCTGTTTGACCGCAGGGATGTCCTCACTCTGATATATGGAGAGTGCCAGACCTGTAGCAGACAGACGACATTATGTAACTTTTAGGGTAAAAAGGAGAAATGAAAAATATATTTTTATATTTAACTAAAATAGATCTAAACCCAATCACTAAAATCTCTTATTTGTTAATATCATCTCAGAAGTTTTGTTTCAATTTTTTTAAATAGACGCCTTTCATTACGATGATACCTGGTGATCCTGTCACAAAGGTGCTGGTTTAGTTACTTCCTGTTATTGGGTGACAACGGCTCCCAATATTGCTACTGTGTTGTCCCTGTCATGTGCGCCCCCTGGTGGAGACTAAAACTGGCCGTGGCAGTACATATTGCGCAAGCCTGTTCCAATTGTTGTCCCTATCAGGAAGCAACATTGGAGCGAGTGCATGTAGACAGGAAGTATCTGAAAGGGGATGAAAGAGATCAGCAACAACCAGCAACTCGTCTTTCCTACCTTCCCTGCATTCCAGTGTAGCAGCCTTCGTCACTCACTTTGGCATCTAACACTCCTGGAAGTGTCTCTGGAGTCCTGAGTCCCCCCGCGCTGTGTGGCATAGTTCCACCTTCTGACCTCTATTTCACTACAGGACTCGGAGAAAGGAACATGGCATGTGGCGGGGGACCCGAGCATCCAACACTCCTGGAAGTGTCAAATGCAGAAGAGACTGACTCAGTCTGGAATGGACAATAGGCACTAGGCAGGAGATATGGGCTGCCGGAGAATTGCGTATACTACTTCTTCTGTTGCAGGGAACTAGCAGCTCATTGGTTACAGCAACTTTTTTTTAGTCACGACACCCTTATGCAAAATCTTAAGGTACCCCAGTCTAAAATGTCATACATTTTAAAAGGGACACCATGCAAAAACACACAAAAAAGTGGGTTTCCCCCTTTACATCGAAGTGATTCGCCAGCTTCCCAACCAATGAGGAAGTCAGGTGGTGAGTTATTACACGGCGCCCGGCTTCTTGATTGGCCAGGAAGCCGGCTTCATGCTACCTCATCACCAGGTGACGAGGAAGCCTGGAGTCGGCTTTCTGGCCAATCAGGAAGCTGGGGGGGTGGATAATGACTCGCTGCCTTGCTTCCTTATTGGCCAGCTTTTCGACTAATCAGGAAGCCGGGCGGCGAGTCATTACACGCCACCCAGCTTCCTGATTGGCCGGGAAGCCAGCTCCATGATCCCGGGTGACGAGGGAGCATGGAGCTGGCTTCCCAGCCAATCAGGAAGCCGGGCGCTGTGTAATGACTCGCCACCCAGCTTCCTGATCTTGGAATTTCCAGTATCAGGATAGGCATTGAGAGCATTTGGGCAAGTATGAGTACTTGCCCAAATACTTGGTATCGGCAACGATACTGATACTAGTATAGGTATGGGTGCATCCCTATTATTATTATTATCAATAAATCTTCTTGCCATATTAAAGCTTATCCGAGATTGCTGTGATCGGGTTTACACTAATCGGCGAGGATTCTATACAAGGCAATGTGAAGATGGAAGCACGCGCAGGTGGATGAAGAGCGCACTTTCAGCGCAGTCACAGGTCTCTCCAACTGCACCTGCTCCTCCGCCGGAGATGAAAGGGATTACTACAGCAGGAATTCATCCGGACAAAAGGAGAAAAATGTACCAGGAAGACGAGAAAGAGGCGCTAAAACCTGGGGATCCAAAAACAACTTTTAACCCTTACTGGTCATGCTGCATCTTGCGATATAGTTTCTCTTACAGCACGGCAGGAACCTACTTCTATTTTTTTACATTTAAAGTAGGTGTAAACTCCATCTGAATGACATGCAGTTTTTGTTAAACCACCGTGTATTATAAACAATTGTCATCTTTTTACATTCAAATGGTTATTTTTACCTTTTTTATCATCTTTTGATGCGTCTCAGTGCTTCTCATCTCCTGCAGCCTCCTTGCAGCCACCTCATGTCTACATGCGCTCCAATGATGGCTGCATGACATTTCTAAAGCTGGCCATACACTCAGCAGCTAAAGAGCATAGGTGGGGGAATTAGTCATAGGTTGAGTCTAGCGGGCCAAGTTAGCCACTGGCTTCCTAAAGGTCTTGGGTGCTCCAACAGCAGGATCCTGAAGCCAAAGTGTCCGACTCTGTTCCTGTCCATCTGGGAGTTTTGGGTGTCCCTCCCCGTTACACTCTCCGTTCTATAGCATCAATTAGGATCCAGCAGGGAGAGTGGGAACCCCTCATAATGGTCACAGCAGGTGTGCAGGTCTTGGAACTCAGTGCAGAATCTTGCCAACAGATTCCTCCAAGAGATAGAAGAACCTGTCCAGTGCTTCATGGAAGACGTATCACCGCAACTTCAAATCCATTGTTGATTTCCCCAAGGGACCTAGTGCATTTAGCACTGAAGCCGCCATCCCTTCTTCTCCGTGTATCAACTTGTCTTGTGATCCGAGCTGGCACCCCTCCCTGCTGTGGTAACGGAAGGCGCTCATGTCCAGAGTCCACCTGCTGTCAGAGGCGACCACTGTCGCTGAGAAGTGTGGTCGGACAGCAGTGGGTAGGGGGGCAGGGTGCTGTTCACCACACTAGCTCTGCAACCACAACACGGATCAGACCGGGACCAAGTGCTACATGCACATGGTCCCCTGGGGTATTCAATGATGTTAAAGTTCACTCCAGCTGTGGTGAAACTTCAAATCCCATCATGCATCAGCCTCTGGGAGTCATGTCTGTGGCTGTCAGAGTCTTGCAATGCCTCATGGGACTTGTAGTTCCACCACAGCTGTAGAGATCAAGTTTGGCTACCCCGGGTTCGAACTGACTAAATCATTGTTGGGCATTGTAACAACTAAGGGACTTGGAGCTAGCAATCCACACGCAGTCTGAGCTGATTTTCTTGGCAATGTCAACCCAATGTGCAACAGATCTGGCCAACCACAGTGATGGCCAAGCTGGTAGATATGGATCAATCTTGTGGGTACCGATATCATGCGGGATGACTGAACGTCTGACATGCACAGATGTGGCCCTCTAATGACTATATCTTACATCCTGCATGCACAATAGCAGAGCATTTATGTGCCTGTTACCAGCTAATCTGAAGGTGTGTGGACACTTCATTACCATAATAGAAAAATATGGAGAGTGCAGTCAGCCATAGCAAGCAATCAGGAGATTGGAGGACCTCCAGCTGGGGTGAAACTAGAAGTCCATTCATGCCTCTGGCAGTCATGCATGTGGCTGTGAAGGTCTTGCAATGCCTTTTGGGACTTGTAGTTCCACAACAGCTGGAGGGCCGGAGTTTGGCTACCCCGGAGTTAATAATTAGGACGTGTCTTCCACTGTTGATTGGTTTGCCATGCCAGCTTGAATTTCCAGCGTCAAAAGCGGTTTCGGCAACGTTTCAGGGTTGCAATCTTGCTGCGTATGTGACAGATTCAGATCAATGGACGCATTCACATAGGCAGGGCGATGTAAAAGGTACAGCCGATCCGAATTCCTTGGTCACTGATCCGACTTCAGTAAACTGAAATTACTGTACTTTGCATCCTATATACTGATTACGTCTGAGGCTCACCATACACAATACAATCTTTGTACAATCGACTTTAGATCTACCAAAACGATGTGATATGAGGACCTACCTGAACTATCCAATCATTCCGCATCCAATCAGACATGCCCACGCACTACATAGTTGTTGGTAGAGCTAAAGGAATTTGTACAATCGAATTGTAACGTGCGGGGAGCTTCAGGGCAATGTTCACACCATGTCCAGACCAGATCTGTTGCAGATTTGCAAACACAGTGCAGTGCGTTTTCCCGCATCCGGTACATTTTTATGTAGCTTAAGGTGCAGTGCACCCCAGAACTGCGTGCGCCTGCACAGCTGCAATGCAATGCAATTTTGCAGCAATTGACGCATTCTTGTTTTTGTGTGTGTTTAAAATGTGATTTCAGGGGCGTTCAAGTGCGTTTGCATGCATTTTTGATGCGTTCTTGTGCAATCCGATGCAGCTACAATAAGGCAAGCAGTATTTTTGTTTGCGTCGGAACGGACTGCTCTGGTGTGAATAGAGCACCAGAAATCCCATAGGAAAGCATTGTGATGTACTTTGGCTGCAGCAGCCAAACCAAACGGATTGCATCTCAACTGCATCTGAGGGGGAACTAGCCCTAAAATGGGCTTTCAGGTGCAGCCCAGTGCGTTTGCATGCGTTTATATGTATTCTGCTGCGTTCCAGACCAGAAAAAATAGTGCATGCAGCATGTTTTCCCCGCACCTGTACAGACTGCACCGGTGTGAACAGAGCCCAGAAATCCCATAGGAATACATTGGGATGCATTTCAGGTGTGGACAAAATCTGTTCCGGTGCGGCCATAGTGTGAACAAGCCCTCAGTCTCATTCGATTTACCAAAACTGTGTAATAGAAGGACCTACCTTAAAGGAGAGCTCCAGGAATGAATAAAATGTCCCCTTGCGGTAGGACTACCCCCTGTAAGGGCGCTTGTTCTGTCTCTGGGTCTCATGTACAAGATATATTCACCTGATCCTGCATTCCTAGGTGGTCAGCACTCACCTCCCCCCCTGATCCGATATATACTCCCCTGATCCTCCATTCCGGTTCCTTGGCGTCCTCACATCTAATGCAAATCAATGGACCTGCATTAGAAGTGATGTCAGCGGTCCTTAGACTGAAGAGGCTGCGGGGACCGGTCTAGCACCCCGAAGGGACTGAGGATCAGGTTGGACAGATATCTCCCCATCTCGGTTGTTTTCTCCCGCGTGAGCTCTTACCTGGCTGAGCCTCCAGGAGCTGTCCATAGTTGGGGATCCTGTGGCTGCACGGCTTCTTCACCAGAAAGGACCTGGGCATCCTCAGCCACTTTCCCACTGTGTGTCCCCAGCATGGGACACTAACAATCTGGGGAGACATTCTCCTGGTACATTACCATGTGGCCTTCACAGCAACCAATGGGAGGCTGAGACAAGTGCAGTGGGCGAGGCGAGAGGAGGGCTCCCGATGAATGTTCCCAGCTGGAGCAGGTGCATACACTGAATATCTTGGCACGGGGCAAGGAAAAGGGGGGGCGGGGCATGGAGCAGCGATCACGTCCAGCTTGTTAGACAGTGATGTATGGAGAAAGGGAACAAGAGGTGCAATTCAAACATGTGAAGCAGCACAATCTACACAGAATGTCCATTCCTTGTCTACACATGAAATTGTTTCCTTTTATCTCGGCATCTGAAAGAAAAGAACGTATTCGGGTTTACGGAAACAAGTGAATGAAATACTGCCATCTACGCTGAAGCTGGCAGAAAGATTCACTGTGAAAGATGCGCATGTTGGCGCGTAAATACGAACATTTATGTGCAGGGTTTAAAAGCATGCACAAAAACCAGGAGTTGGCAACTCCATCCCTCCACCTGTGATTTAACCACAAATCCCATCATGCCTCTGCCTCTGGGAGTCATGCCGGTAACTGTCAGTCTTGCCATGCCTAGTGGGACTTGTAGCTCCCCAAAGCTGGAGGGCCGAAGTTGGTCACCCCTGGCATGAACCCATTCTATTGGCTAGAATAGGGGTAGCCAACTGTGGCAATCTAGGTGTTGCAAAACGACAAATCCCATCATTCCTCTGCTCTGGGAGTCATGCCTGTGGCTGTCAGTCTTGCAATGCCTCAGGGGACTTGTAGTTCCACAACAGCAGGAGTGCCGAGGTTGCCTGCCCCTGTAATATATTGTAGAATGAGCCAATAGCCTTGTTACATAGTATTTGAGGTTGAATAAAGACATTAGTCCATCAAGTCCAACCTATTAGGATCTCATTCTAGGAGTACCTGTACCCCTGTATATTACGGTCCCTTAAGAAATCGTCCAAAAGTTTCTTGAACAATTCCACATTATTTGCTGAAATCATCGCCTGTGGCAGTGAGTTCCGGACCCTAACTGATCTTACTGTGAAGAACCCCCTTCGCCCCTTGTGCTGGAATTTTTTTTCCATCAATTTTAGGTGATGGCCTCTAGTTTTTGTAACAGAGTTAATTTGTTGTGCTTTGCATTTGCATTGCATTTAATGGAAAGTAATGATTAATAAGCGAGCACCAACCAATCAGAGGATAGAGTTCAGTTTCTAAATGACAGCGAGAGCATCACCTCTGGGGGTCATGCCTGTCAGTCTTGCAATGCCTCATGGGACTTGTAGTTCCACAGCAGCTGGAGAGGTTGCCTACCCCTGTAGTATATTGTAGAATGAGCCAATAGCCTTGTTGTGTTTTGTATTGGCATTGCATCTAATGGAAAGTAATGATTAATAAGCGACCACCAACCAATCAGAGGATAGAGTTCACTTTCTTTCTATATGACAGCGAGAGCATCACCTCTGGGAGTCATACCTGTGGCTGTCAGTCGTGCAATACCTCATGGGACTTGTAGTTCCACAACAGCTGGATTGCCGAGATTACCTTCCCCTGGGCTAGAATATTAATTTAGGCAATAGAATGAACTTAGATGCATATGCACGCAATTGATGGCAGCAAGGTCCCCTCCGAATGCAGGTTTTGGCTCGTTTGGTTTTATTTATGGCCCTGAACACTGCTCTGAAATACAAATCTAAACACTAAAATGTTGATGGACACATTGGCTGACATATAGCTGCGGTCAGAGACATGAAAAAAAACCCCGTCATTTACATGCGCCAAACACATATGTGCCAAACACAAAAGTTTTGCATTTGGGGAATTACGCCAATGCGTGTAAATGGCGGTACCTGCCCATGTGCAGCGTATTCCATACAACGCTGTGGATACAAAAACGCAGCAGCTGTGGCTCCTGGATGATGTAAATACAGCAGTGTATTGTGCATTATACAGCCCATATTATTATTATTATTATAAATACAGCAGTATAATGTGCATTATAAAGCCCATATAATAATAATAATTATACAGCCCATATGCCTGTATTTGCATCCTTGTGAATGAGCCCTTATAAGAACACTATAAGATGTATTGTGTTGTAACATTTTAATTTCTTTCCAGCAACCGTCCATCTACTTGCTTGGAGGGAGGAAGGAGCAAGCAAGGGAATGGCTTGCCTTGCTGTGTCACTGTGTTTGTGGAGACGCACGCAGCTTAATAGCACACACAAGGGGGGCTCCAAATGATCCTACAAGGGAGAGGAGCCACTGTAAAGCCGACAGTCGGCTCTACAAGTTTAAACAGACTCCCGGCGGCAAAAGTCGCCGGGAGTCTGTTTAAACAGCCCCGATGCTGGCGACGTACACTGTACGTCGTCAGTCACGAAGGGGTTAAAGAGGATATCAGGACCAGTGCTCAGGAGACCAACTCCTTCTGCAGGAAACTACAAATGTTAAACATCAAGGAGCAGCGTCCATTGTAAGTAAATTGGCATTTGAAATAGTTTAAAAAACATTTTGACTTTAATATCACGTTAAACCCTGCTCACAGCTTGTATGGAGGACAGCCAAGACTCCCATTCAGATCTGTATTTAAAATCCTCAAACTGGAGTTGAAGTTTCAATAAAGATGCGCAAAGCTTATCGAAAGCGATGTACACCTTGCTCGTCAGCTGAGCTCCTACAAGCTGAAGTCCATATGATGAACGCCTCAGGGCCCAATTCCAATGTGAATGGTACAACAATGCACGGCTCTTTGTGAATGGCCCCTGGCTGATTGTGAATAGTTCTGTACAGTAGTGGTGAAAGGACTGCAGCATACCAAGACGTACATACTGTGTGTTATGTTCCTCTGTATTGTAAAAATATATATGTATTTAAAAAATACAAGAAAAGCCATGTGTAGTTTTTTTGCACTCTCAGTCTGTAAATAGTGAATGAACTGTCTTAACATAACGCACATTAATGCACGATATACAGTATATGCAATAGCACTGCAAAATATGAATTCGCAGAGCTGTGGGAGGGATCCAGCAGGCTCCACCCACTACAGGCTGCGTGCAGAAAACTACAGGAGGGGCGGAGACAAGACCGGTCACTGCTGCACCCTGCACAAGGAGAGAGCAGCAGTGACCAGTCTTAATCACAGGAGGGGGCGGAGACAAGACCAGTCACCCTGTACAAGGAGAGAGAGCAGCAGTGACCGGTTTTTATTACAAGGGGGGGGCGTAGACAAGACCAGTCACACTGCACCAGGAGAGAGAGCAGCAGTGACCGGTTTTTATTACAAGGGGGGGGCGTAGACAAGACCAGTCACACTGCACCAGGAGAGAGAGCACAGGTGACCGGTCTTTATTACAGGAGGGGGCAGAGACAAGACCAGTCACCCTGCACAAGAAGAGAGAGCAGCAGTGACCGGTCTTACTGGATTATTGCACAGATCTGGAAGAAATATACAAAGTTCACCTAGAGTCAAATTAGACAAAATGTGACTGTTGTATTGAGACAATTGTTCCTTATTCCAGAGTTTAGCTTTAAAGAAAACTGAAAGTGATACAATCTAAATAATTCAGAGCACATGGTAGACGATCAGCGGCTCTTTGTTAAGGTGCCCATACACCTTACAATTTATCTGCAGATTTTCTGTGGTCAGATGGAAAAAGTGCAACAGATTGGCCCAGGTGGAGATTACTCCAGCCACACAGTTAAGTGTAGATAGAGGAATCTGTTCCACCTTTTCCATCTGACCACAGAAACTCTGCAGATAATTGTAAGATGTATGACCAGCTTTAGAAGATCCTGGCCAGCCACTTGCTGGTGCTTGTAGTTCAGTAACAGGTGGAGGGTGGCAATCACCCGGGGCCACTGAACAGGGTGACCTTGGAAAGGCACACATTTTGGGAGAGCGGGGTGGGTTAAACAAACCCAATCCAGACAAGGACAGCAATTGTTTGCCTAATGTAAGCTTTGATGGTGCTGAAGTGTTTAACAAGTCAGCTCACAAGGTCTCAGGCCCCGTCACACTGGTCCCTTTCCCCCCCGTGTGTGGGCCCGCAGGTAACTCTTGAAGATATGAGAAGTTTATCTAACTCTTCAGGCTGCACCTAGGTGAGATTGTCACAGTGCTGCCAGATACCTCAGAGCAGGGAAAGGAATGTGGACACCCCCGTGCCATTATCAGCCCCGCTGTGTGCTCCATTCCTCACGTCTGACTATTTCCTTTAGTGATTCAGTACTGGGCCAGGAGGAGTCTTGAGTCTCAGGATTATTCACCATGATGGAACTACATGGAGACTTTACATTGACCAAACCTGCTAGCAGGTACACTGCAACCAGCAGGAAGCCCTGGGAGGCTGAAGTCCATCAGTCTTCAAACCTACCTAGAGGCATGGATGTCTGCACAGTGTACAGATACACACTATATGGCCAAAGGTTTGCAAACACCTGATCATCACACCTACCTATATGGTCTGAGGTATGTGGACACTTCTCCAAATGATTGAGTTCAGGTGATTCCATTGAAAGGTGCACGATGGCCTTGTTGAGACAGGCTTTATATATAAGAGCAGAGTATTGTTTTCTTCCTATGCTGACTATGCTGACTTGTGGAAGTGATTTGTTAAGCCGCCCCATCATTTCTGTATGCTGTGAAAGATCCGCCCCCCCCCGGTCCCATGATCAAGTGTGCCCCCTGTGTGCCCCCTGTGTGCCCAAGACCATCATGGCAGGTGTCAGGATGGAGGGCAGAGGAACAAACATCCGTTACCTGATCTCCTCTGGACCTGGAAGTGGTGAGCTATGATCACTTCCGGGTTCAGGACCATCAATCCCCGGCCTCAATGGCTTCACAGGTGACTAATAGACCCCTAAAGTCTCCTGTACTTTGCTATGACATAGGGAGATGATCAGCCCCATTGCACTGCCAATAACATTGGCGAAAAAAAAAAAAGAAGTTTAAATCAAAAGAAA